GACCCCTGGGCCGGAGCCCAGAAGGAGGACGGCCGCAGAACCCCCTCCGGGCCTATCGGAGCACCGCGTCCTGCTCCGGAGGGTGGGTCCTGGGCGCTGGGGGTGGGCGCTGGCGGCTGCAAGGGGGTGTGTCCTCCCCCCGCTGTCACTACAAGTGGCCGGTCAATTTACATATTCCTGGGCCGCTGGTCTAGCCTACAAAGATAAAAAGACGAGCTTTGCAGGACAAAGCATTATTTCGAATTAGAAATCAGGCGGCGGGCAGATCCCAGGCTTTGGTTAGTGGGAGCGGGTGGCCGCGACGTGGCCTCTGCACACAGCGTCGGCTGGCTGCCCTCTGCCACCCTCCTGCCCGCCAGGCAGGGGCGAGGGAGCCTGCGGCCGGTGGCGACCCGAGGAAACTGATTAGGCGCCCCTGCTCCTGTCGCCAGCTCAGGTCGCCCTCGGCCTCGCTCCGCCCCTGCGAAATCCAGGAGCTGCGTCCAGAGCACGCGGGCCGCTGCTGCTTCAGCTCTGGAATCCGCCCATGTGGCCGCCTCACCCCCGAGTGAGCTGACAGGGGACTGGGCTTACGTAAATCCAGTCCCCCCCTCCGGACGAAATGTTGATGGATGGCCTTGTGGGCCATGTGGGCCATGTGTGCCTCGCGTGGACAGAGGGCAGGCAAAACACCTCAGAACCACAGGACAGGAGCCCCATCTGCTCCAAGGAAAGCTGGGTCCCGAGCACTCAATTTTGTGTATTTCTGTTTCACTATTTCCCTGATTTCTCTTCAGAAATTTAAAAGGAAAATTTTGCTTCTCTGTGTTAATAGTTGACTTTAAAGTTACCCTGACTTTTCAGCTTCATCATTTGCAAAATTTACCAGGGATCTGGCTCATTTAATGCCCTTCCCTTGCAGGGGGCTGAGAACAGAGGTTCATTTCAGTCCCAGGACCCCGCAAAGGCAAATGGAGAAGGGACAGCGGCTCCTCACCCACCACTGGCCATCACACCTTTCTGTGTCTTTCCCGATGTCCCCTGTCCCCCCACCAAGGACAGGAGGTAACGCTCGTGTCTCTGCGAGGCCGTCACGGGGGGAAAAATGGATGACAGAGGTGAAGTTGTAACGGAACGCCAGAAAGCCCTGGAAAAGACTCATAAGTACAAAAAAAAAAGTACAATGGAGAGCCGCATTTATTGATATTAAAGTAATTACAAAATTATAAGTGGGTTAGTTCACTCGCGTATTACTTCAATGAGAATTTTTGTTTAGTCATACCAAAATAGTTCGCTTCTCTTCGCTGCAAAAAAATTATTTGCGCCTAAAAAAATATTTGCACAAACTTCCTTCTTCCTAAGTCGATGCTCAGATTCCATGCTCTTTTAAATCTCATTCTTTTATCCTACTTGGAAATCCAGCTGGTGCATCCACAGCTACATGCAATTACTTTCATATGGCTTAACAGAGGTGTAATCAAATATCAAAAGACGGTCTTTACGATCATTTCCATACTGAAGTTCAACCTGATTCCATGATAGCCAGGTCAAAAACACTTGAGCGAAAAAGTCACTGGGACTCAATAATCGTGTAAAAATCACTAATAGGATTTTGTGAGCGTGTTCACATACAAAGGCATCTCAGAAAACCTGTTCCCATTTCTTCTAAAACATGGAGCGATAGGTAATAAAATATAAACATTCAGAAAAAAATTTTGCAGCTTTTTAGCTGATGTCTTTCAACTTTCTTTACTCATCAATATTGATGTCAGAGGTTGGAGAAGTAAAATAGTTACACTAACATTCAAACTAATTTTACAGACAATTTTATTTATTTAAAAACTCATTAGCTAAAATCTATATACCTTCTTATTCCCAAATCACCTCTATGACTTTCCCTGCATTAACTCGAAGCATATGTAACTCCAAAAAGTCAAAACGGATTCATTTCCAGGGTGAAGATGCTCAGCGACTGGCTGATGACTCGCTGAGGTGTTGGTGTGGCAGTCGTTAAAATCCTGATCAATGCCTCCTGATCGCTGAAACCTGAATAGACAATAAAAGTCTCCGATTATTTGCTTATTTCTCCTACCGGTTGTAAATAATTCGACTACCCACAAAACAGTCGCTTATTCAGGTTCAAATACAACTACATCCCACACCAAATTACCTTAATGGAAAAAAAGCAGCCTTAAGAGGGAGTCACCCAGCAGTTCTGGCACCAGCTCGGAGCAGGGGATGGCTCTCACGTGCCATGTCGGGGCGCAAATGGGAAGACCCCTTTTGGAAGCAAAATGCTAAAAAAAATAGGCCTGTACCCCATGAGTCAATAATCCCACTTTATGAATCTAACTCGTAGAAAAACATGTTTTCCTTTTAAAACGCTCTGCCTACAAAGTTATATACTACAATATCATTTATAACAAAACTGGATATAGTCCAAGGGTCAAATACTGTAAAATGATGTTGAAAAGGTGCCATATATTTACACAACGTAATGTCATGGAGCCATCATAACATCTGAAGACATTTGAATGGATGGGAGAGCTAGCAAAGTGCTTATGATAGAAACTATTCTACACATTATACAACACATGATATGTTATATGTAAATCACACACGGATATTACCTATCGTACACATCATAGCTCCAGGAAACACACAAAAAGCCAACAATTTGAAGTGTTCCCACTGCCTTTCTCATTCCTATAATTTAGGGGTCAAGCTTATTCTCCGGGAGTCAGGGTTTTCTTTGGCCCGATGAAATCAATGTGGGAGCATTACGTTCTTCCTTCCCATTCAGAATTCAGGCCCGTGATGCACTGACTGTTTTTCACACTTTACATCTTCTTTTAAAAACTCATTTGCCATAAAGCAGTTAACGTTTCTCCCCAGGTTGATTTTGAATAATTTAAACACGTCCCCTTCATTTTTCTATCGGAGACAGAAAATAAATAGATAAATAAATAGGTGTATAACTCTCGAGGATCGCTCGCCTTCACGTCCTCGTTCCTGATTACTATTCCTTAACGAGCCGGGCACTTGCGCCTGTCTTTCCGTGGGAACTGCTGCGTCAGCGTTTGATAACTGGACGGGGAAGTGGGCATGGAGAAGGCTGATGGGAGGACACGGATGTCCGAGGGGATTAAAAATAAAGGGCGTTTTCCAACTGCAAAGATCAGAACATAAGCTGCTCATTTTCCCAGCGGTGAAAGCAGCAAAATGTGAAAACATCTCCACGTGAGAAAATGCGGCGGTGACTCTGAGGCGAAGCCGGTTCTTACCGTGTCACCCCGGTGGGGCCTTCACTGTACCATCCGATACACGGGGTCACCGACTCTCAAGCTTCCAACCTTTTCCACAGAATAATAGGTCCCGAAAAGTGGGGATGACTTGAATACGTGCTTCTCTGAAGGATCACACAGGCGGTAGCTGAGAAAAGCAAAAATTCATCATCAGGCATAAAAAAAGGGAACAAGAACCTAAACGCTTTCGAAATAATTCAAGTTTTCATTCCTAGGTTATTTACAAGTAAACGGCCAGCCTTTTCTGAAATGTCGACAGAGAAGTTTGTGGGACATCGGTCACACTTCGAATTATCCTGGCTTTTCTAGAAGTATCCTGAGAGTCTAAACAATTTTTCCATGGCTTCAGTTGAGGCCAAAAAGAAAAAAGAAAAAAAAAATTTCCTGTGTTACTTAAAATAAATACTTTGTTTGGATGGGTACCTCCAATTTCTCAACTCATTGGGGCAAATGCTCATGCGATCTTGAAATGGAAAGACACTGAAATCTCCAAATCTTCTGCTTACTGCATTTCAACACTGCGCTTTCCACCCCTCCAAGTTCAGGAGCCCAAAGCTGAGGTTTCTTTTATGAACAAAAATTAAGACAAAGATGCAGTTGGTAGGCGGGCAGGACCATTGACGAAGATAATTTTTTTAAAGGCCTATCTAAAGAAAACAAATTAACTTCACTACATCTTAAACATCAAAAAACAAAACAGAATTGTAAATCTGAAGTCTTCCAGAAATAACTTCTTGACTCTAACCTAAACTTATTAGAAACCAACAACAAAACAGAGAAAAGGGAAAGAAAATAGAATATATCTTCCAAAAAAATATTAAGTTTAAAAACATTTTCTTTATTGAGAACGAAAGTCAGCCCAAATTCTTTAAATAACAAAACGAAACAGATGAAAACACCCTGGCATAAAAGAAGCTTCTGGATAAACAAACTTCGATAACTCATTACCTTCTGTTATTTTTCTAACATTTCATTATACGACTTCGATTATTCTCATGCTCCTTGATATTGATTCTGATAAAGAAATCTGAGTTGCAATCAAAATATTTGAGGTCTTAATTCAGAAAAACACACATAAATGTTGTTAAAAATTGATATCAGATACAAAAATTTCAATATTTACTATTATACAATTAAAAAATTGTCAAAAGGACTAGAAGACCTGTTCAGGTAAAAAGAAGAAGCGACACTCACTTAACATTGCTGGACAGACACAAACTGACCAGAAGGCAGAGTGAAAGGTGCTCAGACAACACCCCCACCCACAGGGAGTCCCAGGTGGGGACAATATTAAAAACACATCGGACATGCGTTCTACCTCTTCAAGGTTTCCAGGGGCTCCTTCCTGTCTATCACGCCGGTATCCGGGTCCACCGTGGTCATGATGCACCTGTCACGCAATAACCGAGGGTCAGGTGACCGTTAAGAACCAGTACGCAAGCCACACCCCAGAAGGCAAGTCTCGCGTGAATCCGTACCTGGGGCAAGCCAAAACCTTTTTCATTTCCACGTTGCCAATGAGGAGTTCATCCCAGGTATCCTAGGAGAAAAGGAACACTCTCTTTTGAATTAAGAATGCACTGGCAGTTTACTCTTTGGCTGGTACTAAGGATGAAGCGACACAGAAGGGAGCCACGCCAGAAGACGCCAAGACCCGTCTTCCAAAGGAGTCAACGTGCTGGGGGTCCAGGCTCCACCCTCTTGACTCGCGGTCTTAGAAACCTGACGGTCAGCACAGCGAGGACGCACCGTCTCGGGCGTGCAGTTCGCCATGAGAATCATAAATTAACTCAAAGGCCGGTTTATTGATATATAATGAGAAATGCATAGCTTACGAGGCAAGCTCCCTCTCTCCCTAAAGCTAAGCCGCAGGGAAAGCCGGGTTAAAATCCGACGCTTCTTTGATGAGGGAAACATCAGCCAAGGGAACCAGCTGTAAAACTCACACATTCAAGACTTCTGCCTCCCCACAGGGGCACCCCGCCCATGGGTCCTGACACCCCACAGCCACTGGCTCTGCTCTCGCGGTCCATTGCACACTGACCTCAAGTGTCTTGCTTCTTCCAGAGACAGACCTCTGACCCCCCTGGCCCCAGAGTGAGTGTGGGCCCAATGCACTTTTGCTAAGTGGCCCGGCAAAGGCTTAAAGGAGGCAGAGTTGTGTAGACAGCTTGAATTCAGAAACCTCTGACAGACACAAGTCCAGCTGGAGCACAAGTCCTCCCCCAGCCACTCGCTAGCTGGGTGGGTGACACTGAGCAAGTTACTCGACTTCTCCGAGTCTCAGTTTTCACATCTGGGAAATACTGCCCACCTCAGTGGCTAGCAAACATTTTCTACCCTGAATCATCGTGAACCAAGGTGGAAATTTATATTTTTATAATTACTAAAACTTGGACACAACCAAGATGTCCCTAGGTAGGTGCATATAACAGTAGGGGTTGTATGGAAAAGCTCTGTGCCTTCCTCTCAATTGTATTATAAACCTAAAACTGTTCTAAAAATAGCCTTTTTTAAAAAAATATTACATTTTTATATTGTTTCCAAATGCTCTTTCACACACACCCTCAATATATAACTTAAACAAAAGTTTTGCAAAACAATTCTTAACCTTTCAACATTGAGTTTACCCTAATACCTTTTATTCTATTCTATTGGGTTTTTTTTTTTTTTTTTTTTTTTTAATGCCGGTCAGTATCCACTAAACTGATATTATAATCCAATAATGGATCATGACCTGTGGTTTGGGAAAGATAAGCAGGAGCATTAAACGAGGTAATGCGTGTAATGGGTCTGACATATTTCCTGCTACATAACGAGCATTTAATAACCGTGAACCATAATTATTATTATTTTTGTTATTGTTTTATATATTGTTATTTTTATCATTGCTTCTTCAGAAATCCTTGAAGTCAGGCAGAGATTGTTGTCCTTATGTTAGGACAGAGCCTTTTTATCTAAGCACCCAAATAAAATCCTCACTTATCCCGACTCCCTTTCCTGGGGACAGAAAACATTGGTGATGATCATTTGCGAAAACTTTGGTTTTCAACAGCTGCAAAGGATCACACTGGGAGAACCCGATATTCATACAGGCCTGGGCGTGGTGGTGAGCGGCGGGGGTGCAGAATTCAAACCACAGATGTCTGTCGTCAAAATCCACTGCCCTTCTAGAAGCTTCTTGGAGAAGCGCTTTCTGAGGGACAGACGCCACCCCGAGGGGCTTCTGCAAGCTTCTCCACTGTTCTTTCATAATGTGGAGTGATGAATGATACGAACAGGACATTCCGAAAGAAGCATCAAGTCCTGCTCACCAGGAAGAAAGCAAGGTTCGGACAATGCCAACCCCACAGCGGTCAACCGCAGGGATGAGAAGCTCTGGGCAATGTTATTATTTTAAAATTTCATTGCTCTGCATTCCCAGAATCCAAACACGCCACAGTGGCCCAAGGGAAGCCATGTTTTAAATAAAATCTGCTTTATATTCTGTGTTCCATGGAAATAGCACAAAGTACTTTGGGTCACAAAGAGTAAAAGGCGCACTTTGCATTCTCTTATTATTCTATATTTTGGCAATAAATAATGGCCTGAATTTTTCCACCATGCTGAGGTTTGCTATCTGTTTTATTTTTTATTATTAGTTGGTCTATTAAATATTTACGTGCATTATCATTTTACATTAATATTTAATGTAATTAGTCCCTCTAATTGAACAGGTTATAGTTCTGTGACAACATGTAGACTGGTTAATGCATCATCAGGCTCTTAAATATTGGGCTTCCTAATTGAAGGGAGACCCAATCAGCAACATTAGCATTATTTTATAGCAAGGATTTTTTTTCCCAATGTGCACAATCAGAGGGTTCTTCTAGAAAAATTATTCCAAAAAAATAAGAGCATTACTACTTCTGTAAGCCCGTTGCGGATAAAACAGCAAATGGACTCGAGAGCACAAGGTCACTCAACATTTTTTTATTAAAAAGAAAGACTCTACCCACTCAAACTGCCTAAGGGAACACCGTCAGGCTTACATCAGCCTTAGGTTCAGTTTGACAAGTTACGGGAGATCGAAAATTCTTGTCGGCAAAGTTACTGAAAAGCAAAAAAAAAAAAAATCTGTAGGCAGGAACGAGAGTGTTGTTTCGTCTTCTTCCCTGAGCTCAAGGTCTTAAACTAAAATTAATATCAAAACAATTTACCCTTCAGTGGAAGCAAATCCAGAAAACTTTTACTCCCTAAAAGAAAGTTTCTATACTTAATCTCAGTCAAGAGGCCGAGAAGCTATTAAAAAAAAAAAAAAAAAGGAAAGCTTCCCAGAAAATAATGGCGCAATTAGATGATCCTTGTGAAAGAATTTTTGCTTTGTGGACTCATTTGGGACCCAGTGTTTAGTGACGTGCGTTGCTAACGCTGAGAGCTGATCTCACTCGTTGAGCAGATAGCATCTCAGGACTCCACACTTACAATCAGCCTGACAGCCACCCTGGGAAACCAGGGACGCTAACGGGCCTTGAGGCTTCACCGGACTTTTCCAACGCTCTGTACCTAATTTTGTTTCTGTTCTTTTTTTTTCTTAGAGACCCCCAAATTGCATAAACTTCAGGCCCCACTAAATCGGGATGTATTCCTGGGGAAAAAAACCAAGTCCCTTCCGTCAAGGAGCCGTTGAGGATACCCCGCCTCCTGCCTCTCCGCTCCCTCTGCTCCCCTCCCCAGCTTGCACCCCCTCCTAAGTCAGGGCTTCTCCAGGTGCCGTCTGCACAGGTGGACCGCGGTGGGGCGGCCGAGACAGTCACAGGCCCCATCTCCATTCTGCTGGAGGATCCAGAGGAGACCTGCTCATCTACGGTATTTTTCAAAAAGACCTCCAGGGAAGAAGCACCACGGCCCGGCCGTTTCTGCCTCAGGCTTCCCTCCGTCACCGTGCACCCCCCAGGGAGGTGCCAGGGTGAAGTCACGCCGGGCACATCGTGGGCATCAGCAGTTATCTGTTGGATGGTTGCATATGCACTTCCTCGCTCAAAATCATTACCAGCTCCTCAGTATCCACAAGGTGACATTCAAATTCCCTGGCACGAAGGAGGGTCCAGCCTCCTCCAGCCTCTTCTCCGTTACCCCCTGTGCTCCTGTGGTTCTGAAATGCCCCCGCCCCGGGCACCCCTTAATGTCACGGTCCCTCGAGCTGTCAGGCCTCCAACTGGCGGCCTCCTTTACCCAGAGTGACCGTCGCCTGCCCTCGTCAGCACACCCAGCACGCACAGCTACACACGCACAACATGGCTTCGGGGTACCCTGGTCTGACCCCTCCCTGCCCCCCATGCCTCTCTTCTCCAGGCAGATGTAGTAGGCATTTGCGCTGCTGGGCATTTGGCACTTGCTAAGCGTGTGCATTAAACACGGCTCACGCTGGGCATTTGGCACTTGCTAAGCGTGTGCATTAAACACGGCTCACGCTGGGCCGCCATTCTCTCTCATACTGGGAAATTCTTAAGGACTGGGGGGGCTTTGCATCTCTGTACCCAGGGCTCCTGGACACAGTGCCTGGCCCACAAAAGATGATCGGTCACTTTCGACAAATGTAAAGAAGGATGAAAGAGAATAGGTATCACATGACAGGGTAACATCCACAAGTAGACGACTTCCGTCTACGTGGCTATGTTTCAAATGATCCAATAATATGAAGCGCCAACACGTGCAAGGATTTCTAGTTGGCTCTCGGCGAAGGTTCGTCCGAAAGGACAACAGTGACCAGCAGATAGAAGGAAACGTGGTCACCCAAGGGAGCAAAGGACGGAGAAGATTCCAGAGCCTCCCCCCTCGGAGGTAACTAGCCTCCCCCCTCGGAGGTAACTACGCGGGACCTCTAAAGTAGAACCTTGACCTTGACCGAGAGTTGCAAGTCTCGGGTTCGAATGCCAGAGCCACCAGGCACACGCCTACCAAGTTGTATGGCACCGCCAAACTTCGAGCTCCTTATGAAAAGGAGAGAATAATACAGACTTCACGGGGTGTCCTAAGGACCAGAGAAAGAAATTTGGATGACGTGATTCCTTAGTCCAGCGCCCGGCACCCAGTAAACACCCGATAAACAGTGTTCGTTGTCGTCTGAAGTTTAGCCCGTCCCCAATGCTCAAACCGTCTGCCGATGGCGATCTCAGGTTGCAGCTGGGTTCCGACTGGGCTTGCCCTTTGGGGTCTGCAGAGGGTGGCGATGCCTGGTGTCAGCCACGTGAGAGAGCATGTGGGTCCTCTGGGAGAGAACTCGAGGCCACAGTATGGAGAGTCCCCTGGGCCCCGTGCCCAGGCAGGTCTCCTATACCCTCTTGGCCACCACTTTGGGGCCCGGGGCTTCCAGGAGCCTCGAGTCTTTGAAAGCCCTCCGGGGCGGCACAAGGAAGGAGAGATGGCTGTTCTCGCCATCGTCATTCCCTTTCGTTTTCTGAGCTGTGAGTATGTGTTTCAGCCTCGGCCCAGACTTGCTACACTTTGGCGTCCCCGTGGCTTGCTTTGGGGCCTGAGCATTAAAAGGTGAGCAGCGCCCCCCTGAGGCCAGCGCGGTGATGGCGGCAGCAATGAGTGAAGGACTTGACCAGGCTAAGATGACCTGGGGAAGGAGGGACCCCGCTGTCAACCTTAAAGGGTCCGAGTTGGCACAGAATAAGGGAGCGAGCAGTTCTATGTGTATGTCGAGCATCACCTCTGAGCGTAACGCGCAGAAAGCACAGAGCCACTTACCTCTTCGAAAGCCTCGCAGCCCGTCACCACGATATTGGGCCTGAAATTCTCCATTTTCACTTTCTTCTCCAGCCTGGTGTTCAGATCTACCAGGGAGGCTTCTGAGAGGATCATGACTGGGCTGCAGTCCGGGTAGGCCACCTGCGCCAAGAACGAGGCGCCATCAGGCCTCACTGACCCAGGAAGCTCCTGAGACCGACCGCGTCGCTAAGGGAGCTCTAACAGTGAAACCACCTGCCCGCAGGAAAGGAGGGGTGATGTCAGGAAGGAGAGGTGACGCTTGGGCTTAAAAAAGTGGCCACGTCAGCCCCGGGCTTAGGGCAGGGTCCCTGTCGGTACATCGATGGCGGCAACTGGGCTCAGGACCCACCTGACCCTCCGGGCCTCACTCCCTCTCTAGTTCCTCACTCCAGGGCCCAACAGGTGGCCTCCCTCCAACACCATCATCAGATAGAGGAAGGGTCTGCGGCCAATCAGCTCTACTACGGGAAAGATTGCTCTCAGCCGCCGTCATTCACGCGCCGTGCATTTAATAAGCACCTACTATGTGCCGACGACAGTGAAGAAAGCAGGTGAAACCCCGGCACTCAAGGCGCTCGCAGTCAGGGGTGTGGGGGAGACCCGCCCTCCCCGAGGAGCTTGTATTTAAACCTAATCTTTCCGGAATCCAAAGCTTTGGTCTTTGGGCTGCAGGTGACACAGAGGGCAGTTTTCTTCAGGAGAGGATTTCAGCTCCTGAAGTAGCCGACCCGCACTGACCTTGAACGCGGCACTGGGAGAGAGTCTGAACCTTTAGGAAACCTGGATTTAGCCCCAAACAGACCCCTCACTTTCGCCGCCCTAACTCCCATCGTCCTGGGAGCCGCGGCTGGCTTCTCTCTCTGCATCGCGGAGAACCCCGTCCGCTTCGCTCTCTGTCCCCAACACCTGCCCAGGTGGCGCCCTCAGGGCGACTCGCCTGGGCCAGGCCTACACTTTTCCCATGGGGATCCCAAAATAAGCTCTTAGTGGGACAAGAAGGACGCCGGAGGGGAAAGGGTCACGGGTAGGAGGGTCAGCGCACCTGGTAACTCTGTCGTACCGCTGGGAAAATTTCTCTCGATAGTCTTGTCTTCATGTTCTTTTCGAACTGAACCAGCCTGAGAGCTTCTGTTTTCAAGAAGTTGGTGAACCACTGAGCTGCTTCGTCGCCACAGTCCCTACCCTTGATGTCAAGACCAAAAAGCCTGGAAGGGTGACGAGAGAACATCCATCAGGCTTACCTCCCCGCATCGGCGCACTGAGCGAGGGCATCACGGCGGAGCAGCCAGGCTGCTGGGACCTGTCTCTGCAGAGGGCCAGCGGGGACGGGGCGGAGTGTGCTTGCCGGAGCGGGTTATGTTTGCAGCTCACCCGGACCTGGTGGAAATGCAGACTCCGGCTGGGTTGGAGGCTGAGCCTCTGCGTTCCGAACAAGCTTCGGGACGCCTAAGCTGCTGGTCCGTGGACCACACTTCGAGTAGCAAGGATTTAGGGGACTTTCAGAAGGGATGAAGGATGCCCCGCAGGTGTGGTGGGTAAATCCTGAGCCTGGAGTCTGGCAGGAGGGGTTCACATGGGAACTCTGCTCGTCCCGAGCCTGTGACCTGCAGCAAAGCCTACCACTCCGCTGACCTCTGCCTCCAGGTGTAGACTGTGGATCATAACATCGCACCTGCCCCATGCGGTGGGCACGGGTTTCATTAGATGACACGATGGTCTTCAAGGTTTTTTTTTTTTCCTTGTGTGCCCCTAAAGGAATTTTTTTAAGGCTATGTACCCCTCATAGAATCGCAAGCTGATGTGGAAACTTTTTTACGAGCTTAATTTTCCGTGAAGGCTATAACTTCCATTGAATCGTAAATATTAATATTTAGAACGAAATTATGTTATATATAAAGCACTATACATATTATATCTATTATAAATCTATAAAAATTTTATTAAAATAAAATAAAATTATGCTTTTCAGACTAAGCGATGGACTCTGAACACCATGGCAGTTTGATTTCCACTCCCATGCACTTTAAAATACATGGTTAAGATCTTCTTTTAGGGTCCACATTTAAAAAATATTTTTTCCAGCTCCATTGAGAGGTAACGACATACAGCTCTGTGTGTCCTAACGGCTTGACCTGCCTACGTCGTGATGTGACCACCGCAATCAGTTTAGTTAACATCCTCATCTCATAAAGGCACACACAAAAAAAAGAAAAAAAAAACGTGTTTTTTTTCTTTATGATGAAAATTCTTAGGATCGACTCCCTTGACAGTTTTCCAGGACACCCCAGCACAGCCGTGTCAGCCGCGGCCACCAGGCTGGGCATCAGGTCCCTCGTCTGTACCTTGTCCCTGGAAGTCTGTGCCTTGTCACCACCTCCCGCCAGCTCGCGGCTCCCCTCTGCTTTCTAGGAACCACAAACCCGATCTCCTCCTCTGAGTTCGGTTTTGGGGAGGTTCTTCTTCTTATTATTCCACATGTAAGTGAGAACGCACAGCATTCGTCTTTCTCTGTCTGACTTATGTCACTTAGCCAATGCCTTCGAGGTCCCTCCATGTTGTCGCAAATGTCACAACCTCCTTCTTTCTCGTGGCCGAGTTGAAGGACTAGTAACACCACCTAGCTGTCGAGAGTATGAGACAACGGATCCTCGTGCTCTGATAGCATACGAATCGGCGCAACGATTTTAGGAAACGATTTGGCATTTTCTTACGAAAATTAACATGCGCTCCTCAGTTCACATGGTTGTGTTAAAGGGTCTCCTTTACTTTTTTCCAACTTGAGGTCGTTGGGTTTGAATTTAATGTGGTTTTAAGCTCTGGCGAGCTGGCTGTGATAATCACTGTCTGTCACTTACCATCTACTTTATATCATTTCTTATGTTTTTAAGCAGTTCTCATGATAACCGATCTATTAAAAATGGCTTGTAAATAAGTGGAGGCTGGACCAGTTGCTGCATGTGTGACCGGCCGGGGCGGGCGGTGTCCTGACTGCCCTCCCCCGCTCTCTGTGGTCATCCAGAGCTCCCAGGGGGAGCGTCTCCAAACTCCCAGAGCTCTCCATTTCCACGTCATCCAGAAACACAACTGACTTTTTGAACAAAATTATAGAAGGACGGGTTTACTCGGGTGTCGTTTTTTGAGATCGGATGAACCCCCCTACAGGGGAGTTTGTGTCTCCCCAGAGTTCGGCCTGTTTAGTGAGGTAAAGAACTGTGAGAGGAGAACTTGTCTGGTGTCACTGACAAAGGGAGTCTGCCAGGCGACTTTCATATCCGTCACTCAAAACCTATCAACTGAACACGTACTCGTGAGCTGACGACGGCCTCCCATCAAACTGAGATGGCTACGGTCTTCTCTTCGGTGAATTTCTTTGCTCAGACCCAGAACGTGTGAGAATGCCTGCCCCCCTCCCACGCACTGAGCGCCGAGGAGGCAGGCGGGTTCAAATCCCAGCTCTGCCTCACGTGATGACGACCTGAGTCCTGGTCCCTTCGTTTGCGAAGTGGAATTAACTGCGCCCACCTCGTGGGATATTTAACGGAAATATTGCGTTTAATGAATTACTGCCTCAGGGTTTTGAAATTTCGGAACTTTGAGCGATGGCTCTCAGCTCAGACACTTTGCTCGTAAAAAGCAGATGATGAGGGCACAGGGGACAGCCTGCACGTCCCTCTGAGCCTGGAGGCCGTGGGACAATTAAATTTCCACATGCTGAATGTTCAGGTGGTTGCAAAGAGGTCCAGAGCACCTCACGGCAAGGGGCCAGGCCTCTGGAACTTTCCGGTAGCGTAGGACAAGGCCAGGCCGAGCCACCGAACTGGCCGTCCCTGCACGGATCCCACGGGATGGCAGGCAGCCATCTGCGGCTTGCCTCTGGCCAGAGCTGGAGATCCCTCACATCCACCTGGCGCCTCCGTCTCCGTCCCGCATCTCAGAGGCTGCAGAGCCACCTTGAAAAGCTCCAGCATCCTTACCACCCAACCCCGAGACACAGCAGGTAGCGTCCCCACTAACTTCCTCGTCTGCCTGGCCGGTGGGCTGGCAACCCTGAGTAGAAGTCCATTCAACTTGAATGAAAAAAACGAACCCTATAGATTGGTTCTTTGTACCCTCTCTCCACCTGTATTAGTCACGCTTTTTCATTTTCTGTATTTTTGATGCTTTGACATCTCAGGGCCTTGCTGATTCTAAAGAAACTGTCCCCTCCCAGGGCTGGTCACCTGCTAGAGATAGTAAACCACCTTTCATGTGAGTACCAACCAATGCAGGCCACCTACGCTGTTGTGATCTCACACCCCTGGCCATTACGTCCCGCCCTAATCACCCAGGACCAGGCACCAGGCGACTGGGGATGGGCTCTGTGCCCCAGAATCCACCGAAGTTATTTAAATAGCCGATCCTCAGCTGGTTTATCTCACCTCACCCGGTCTTCCCTGCGGAATCACCTTGAAGGCTCCTGCCTGCCTTTTCCCCATCCCTTCTGCCTCCCGACCGACCAACCCCCCCGCTTCCGGCACGGCCCTGCGTGGCACGGGCCTCCCGCGAGTATAAAAAACTGCTTTCTGCGTGACTTACCACACCCGATTAAAACAAATCCCACGCGCCCTTAAATCACACCCTCTCACGGCCGACCCCTGGCTCCATCCCAACCCAGACTCGACTTCCCCGACGTGTCTCCTTTATCAACCCCATCGCCGGCTGTGCAGACAGAATGCAGGAGGAGCCCCAAGAAAACCAGCTCACGGGTCCCTGGGGCCCGAAGCCGGGTACCTGCAGTCGTGGACCGTGTGCGAGGAAGGCATCTCGCTTGGCAAAATCAGCTGGTCCATGCCGGGAGCCCTGAAGATCAGGGAGTCATCTTCACAGGTGACGGAGACCAGGACCAGGCGAGGCTCCTGCCGGGCTGTGACCATGTGTCCGCCCTTCTTAGTCACCATCCAAAACCTGCCGAGAGACACGGACAAGGGCGCCCTCAGGCCCGGGAGAGGCTCTTCCGTCTTCTCAGTAGCTCCTCTCCAGCTTCCTACGTCTTCAACATCCTCTCCCTGCCCCGACTCAAGAAGCAACCTTTTTATTTTTTTTTTTTCCTAGACAATTATCCAGATCTGGCCAAATTCTTTGGGTTCAAAAGTTGGTGGCCCACAAAGAGAGTTTCTTTGGCAGAAACAGACCTGGGAGAGCGATTCTGACCCATGGATGAAAAGGCCCAGTTCCAAAAATCCAGAACATGAGGCCGGTCGAGGGACCCTCCCTCCCTGCTTGGGTAACTACGCTGTGTGTCTGAGGCCTCTGCTTTGGCCGGAAACTTCCCCGGGCCTGTTGGACACGCCTCTGAACCCCCAGGTGAGGTGAAATGTCTTTCGGATCTTCCTGTTCGAACCAGATAGGGCCAAAAACACTGGTCCGAGCGGCCTGAGAGCCTGGACAAAGGTCGCGTAACGTTTGTGATTCGAGGAGGATGCACGTTGGCCTCTATTTCGTCTGACTGGCTGTGGCTCCCCACGTCAGGGTCCCCCAAACAGCCCTGCTTCTTCGTGAACACATGTTCCTTCTCAGAGAAGAACGACTCACGAAAGTCACCTGTTAGCCGCGGATTCTGGGCTCAGTGATCACACTCTGCACGTCACATCCATGGGGGCCGATGGGGCGAGCTGAAGAATGGGAAGGGGAGCTGAACCGGTCAGGCTGACTGTGCTTTTATTACAGCAGAGAATATATTTGGGGTTAAACCACACGAGTGATTGGACTACTTAAAAAAAAAAAAGGAAGTGTACTGCCCTCAGGGAAAATGACTTTCGATAGCGCTGTTTTAGACAAAGCATAGGACTGGCAGACAAGAGCAGGGGGTGACGCACTGTGGGCCTCGATGAGTGAGCAGCCACGGAAAGTCAGGGCTGCCCTTCCAGAACGAGGGGCAGTGCCCCCAAGGAAGACATTTCAAAAGTGAGCGAGGCCAGATGGGCGTGTCTGAGATGATCTAACCTCACGGGGCAGGGAGGTGGTCTCACCTGTGGAGCCTGCCAATCAGGCTACCTTTCCCACGCGCTGCCTAAACTGTCCCTTCCCTACGACGAAGCGCCTAGCATCTGTGCCCTGCTAGCCCGCGTGGTGACGTCGGGGCAGAGGTGGTGACGTCGGGGCAGAGACATCGTAGGGGTTTTCCTGAGGACTGGGATGCTGGGCAGCGCAGTCCCCGCCCCTCTGAGGAGGCCACCTTTTTTCTTTCCAGGTGCCTTTGGTTCCCAGGGCTCTCCGGCCTGCTCACCTGCGGGGTTCTGGAAGCTGCCCCCACCAGCCTCATTACCCTGCCAATGGGGTAAGAATATTTTTCGCCTCTGGTGCCCAGAGAATGAGTCATTAACTCTGGCCGCCAGATCAAAAAGAAAGGATAAGTCTGGAACGTAGATTTTTTTCCGTGACCGAGTGATCCCAACCTAGTCTGCCAGCCTGAAATCGACACCTTCGTTTCACACATAAAACGTGGGTACGTGGGTGGGGGTGGGGCGGAGCCCCAGCTCCGTTTCCCCTAAAGAACAACAGTGCCCTGTCCGATCGGCCAGGGGCGGCGGAGAAGCAGAGCCCGAGACAGCTGGAAAGTCTCATCGCTAAAGTCACGAGTTGGCCTGGGAATCAGGCATGACCGGGGCTGTCAGCACGGAGAGCAGGGTGAAGGCAGGAAGAAGAATCTAGAAGAAAAGACACTCAGGACCGTAAACGTAGGGGACATGTTTCTCCGAGGGGCGACAATAATCTGCGTGGAAGGAATAAGGAGCTGGCTTCAGAAACGGTCTGGACAGATTTGTCAATGACCGAGGCTGCCAAGGAGAACGGGAATCTACAAGGTCAAGGGCAGCCACGGCCTCTGCGAGGGGGTGCCCGGCGGCCGGAGCCAGCGCTTTGCCGGGCGGACTTTCAACGCTCAAAGGTCAGGGTGCTGAAGCTGAACAGTCACGCATCTGTTAAGAGTCTGATGAAGTATCTCGGAAGGCGAAACACAGAGCACTTACAGAGGACGTCCCCAGCGTCTGGGATGGTCCCAAAGACATGGATTCAAAACAGAATTAAATAAAAAGGCCTTTTCCTGCCTTCTAGACTGTAATGTTATTGCTGGAGCCTCAGGTCGATGGAACAACAGCAACCATTTAGCAGAATTTTTTTTTTTCCAGTGTGTTTTCAGGTTTCATTTACCTTTTAATAAATAAAGTCTAGATTAGATAGGGACTTAGAGATCATCAAGTTCAATCTCTTTTTTTTTTTTCGCCCGCAAATGAAAAAAATGAGGCTCAAAGAGGTTAATGACCTTGTCAAGGTCTCCTGATCCTGGTCTGTGATCCTCACACTTCCAAACCACACAGCGGTCTCGCGGAGGGAGCGTGAGAGCTGCACTCAGAGATCTGAGTTCGAGTCCCTTCTGCCCATGACGGTTTTGTGATCTCGGGGGGAGATACAGCATGTCCTTGACGAACCAACCGCGTTTCGTTCAATGTTATTCTGTCCTCATGTCGATGAGGCGCTGTAGGACTTGAACTCTGGTTTATATCTAGCAGCCTAAGGTAAAACAGGGTCCCTTGTGCTTAAAGTCACAGAACCTACTGAGCACTTCCTCTACTTATCCGTTCCGGTACCGTTCCCTTATTTGCCAAGTGGAGATGATGGTCCGGGCCACGAGGTTGTTGAATAAGCTCATCTCTGGGACAGCACTGAGCTCAGGGTTTGCTGCATATGAAGCACTGAATAAGTGTCCTTTGTGTGACCTTTCCCTCCACCCCAGTCCCTACACCACACCACCCGTCCCAAGCATTTTTTGTTCAAAACCAGGGAGCGTTGATACAGTTCCATTTATTTTAGGATGTCCACAGAAGCAGAAAAACGAAGGACAGATCTGTTCTTTCTGTAGAAGCAACAGTCACAGCAAAGTCCTGACAACAAGTAGCAGAGCAAGTCATTAAGATGGCCCGAGGGGACACAGATGAGAACTGGAAATCCCTCTCTGAAACAACCTCAGTCCTTCAGGTAAAATCCGCAGTAGCGGAAAGTCATTTCCCCTCCATGTGCATCCTGAGAACTCGCCCCCCACCCCGGGGTTTGGAGGGTGTCTAGCGCTGCCATGGCTGAAGTCTCGCCAGCAAGTAGCCGGCGAGCAGAAATCTGTTTTAGTCCTTCACACTCGAATAAACTCTACACATGTTCTTCTTAAAGGCCCCAGATAAACCCTTTACTTAGAGAATCAGGGTCACCTGGGAGCTGTGGACATTACACGAGCTGACATCCCTCTCGGTGACTCTGATCCCGTAGGTCTGGGATGGGCGCCTCAGGAAATTATACTTTTAATAAACGCTCCAGGATCAGGCGTGGGGTGCAGGGGTACGGGCAGTCCCTCTGCATACACAACACTTCTCTAAAACGAGCTGAAGTTTTTTTCATGCCATGGGGGCCCGCATTTCTTTACAAGGACAGTGGTTTTCAGAGAAGAGTGGGTACCTACGTCCTGGAGTGAACTCGGGGCAGCAGGCTGCCTCTGCTAGAACATTCCATGAACAGCTTGCAAATCTCCCTCACCCTAGACATAGGACCATAGCTAAATCATCCTGGGCCAGACAGGAAGGCATCTGTATCCTAAGGATCAAAGAAGGAGGTTCTTCTAGAAAGAGGTTCGCTCTTTCTAAGGTTTAGCATATTTCTCTGTCGAGAAAGCTCTCCTGATACCCAGCTGCATAATTCTGTGTCACTGATGTGTGTCCACTGTCTCTTCTTTGGGGAGAATTCAATGACAGAGCACCTTTTTTTTTTCTGAGGGTGCAGAGTGAAATGCCTTTGTGTTAGGTCCTGTGTGGGTGGGGACTTTACCCAAAGTTCTTCACTGGGGAACACTTTGCCTCTGGGTGAAGGGGACACACAGTTCCCTTAAAAAAATATATTACACTTGCAGGCCCCCTGACACCTTTTGTCCTCGACAGAAGACCTCACTCTAGTTATTACTCATTAAAGAGGGTCAGGTGGGGACCTCTTGGGTCTCCCAGGCACCTTGCCAGGAACTGGTGACGGTCAGGAACAAGGCCCACCAAGGCCAAAGCCGGGCCCTTGAACTAGGCATGGTTTCGGCTTCGCTGCAGTCTGCCCACTGCTGCCAAGGAAGCTGAGAGCTAACAGGGGCCTTGGCGATAAGCAGGTCAGCAGGGGCCTTTTACGGACAGAAGAAGAACCTCTCGCCCCCACCCACCTTTCCAAACCTGAACCGGACATGAACTTGGCCGTCCCCGCGAAAGGACCGCAGGCAGAAGCTCCAGCCCAGGAAACCCAGGTCGCAAACCTCAACGCTCCTGCGCCGGGACGAGCCCCACCTTCAGCACTGCGTCCCAGCCCAGCAGG